TTGAGCACATTAATGGATAATCAGATTTTTGATTTCCTCACTCTGGCTCTTTCTGAGCTGTTCTCAGGCCAGGGAAAATGTCTCTGATGTTGCTTCTTATCTCTATTCACCACCTTAATTATACAAAGGCATGTTCAGCTCTTACTATATTTTAAAGTGTGTTCATTTGTATTTAGTTTTTTGTTTTAAACTAAGAATCATATTGGCTAAGAAGCCCAAGGAAAATTGGGCAGCAGTTGTTTCTCCCATAAAGGTGATGATGTTTCAGTATCCACCCCTTGTTCCTCTGCACATACCCTGCTGCTGTAGTGGCACGTTGCCTGTCCCTGGAGCAGAGGGAGCCAGCCCATGGGCCATGGGCCACTGCTGCCCTTCCCAGCCTCCAGAGCCACCTCTGCCCTGGGCTGTGCCTGGGGAGTGCTGGGGAAGGAGCTGCAGTGTGGCTGGGAGTCATAAATGAGATGGCAGATTTCTGCTCCTACTGCCAGAATGTCTGGGCTCTGGGACAGCCCTGGGGATGTGCATCAGATGCAGCTGTGCAGAGTCTGGTGCAGGGTCTGGTGAGGTGAGCAATGCTCAGAGAATGAGCAGAGCAGTTAAACCCCACATAAAACTGCTGAGTGGACACAAATCAGAGAGCTCAGGCTTCAGTTCCTTCTTCCCCTCACCTGTGCATATTCCAACCCGGACTTGTACTTCTCTACCTCAAATTCTTTGGCTGGGAACAACCTGTCACTGCTCCATGCTGATGGTCTCACTCTTCCCTGGTCTCTTGTGTCTGGACCTGAGGAATGTCATGTTCCCCTGGTTTTTGCAGACCTTCCCACAGCCAGCTGTGTATGAAGTGCCCTTTGAGCAGGAAGCAATCAACCATCGAACCTGATGTCATCCACTTGCAGTGATGCACTCTGAGAGCTCAGCAAAGCTGATTAGCCTCAAGTTTGAAATGAGTGATTCCAAAACAGAAAACAGATGTGCCCAATGATTAATACCTGGTGTGCTTTTTACTCAATTATTTCTGCCATTCTCCAGGCTTTGATAACTGTGATTTTCTTGGAGTTGACATTGGTTCCTCCTCTGCAAAGTTTATTTTATTCTTTTTTAAGTTTTCAAAGTGTTGTTTATTCTTTGGGTTTTCAGAAATTCCCTCACCATGTGTTCAGAAATAGTGCACTCAGTCATGCACAGCCATCTCTGTGTTTGTGCTGTCCCAGCAGCAGAGCCAAGAGCAGGAGTCAGCAGCAGCCACTGGTGTCTGTCCTGCCTCAGCACTCCAAGCAGTTCTCCTGCGCGAGGCAATTCCTCTGCTGCGAACCCCACCGTGGGAAAACGGCAGAAATTGTCAGTGCAGACACCACCCAAGTGCACATGCCCTTGCAGATAAGATCTTGTGTGGCTTCCTGCACCTCGTACTGTACGTGGAAAGAATAGTCATTTTTCGATGAGACAGCCAACTGCATTCAAAACAAGCCGAGAGGAGCAGGTATGGGTGCAGGGTGTCTGCTCCTGAGCACTCCCCACTTTCCCATGCTCGTGGGTTGCGTTCGCGTGACTGCAGGAGTGTTCTGGTGCTCGTGCCTGGGCCCCAACATGTCAGGTTTGGGAAACTTCCCTCATCCTTTGGTCAGTGCACCTACACCTGGGTTAGGTGGAATTCAGGGTAGTGTTGCTCAGCTTTCAATTCTGCCCCAGACTCAATCAGCCCTCTGCTGTATTTTAGGGATTTATCCTTGGGATACAAAACTACTACCAAATGTCCAGGTAGGATTTTTGCATTCACTGTCATTAAGTCAAACAGTGGCCCAAAGCTCCCCAAGAATGAGGAGACTCAGGAGCTTGGACAGGAGTTGCATCAGGCAGTGGCCATCAGCTTTTCTCCTGCACTAAGCAGTGCATGCAGTGCATTCATCACATCCTGCTCCCGGGCACACCTGGGGGTTCAAGGCAAGAGAGGGATCAGCCTCCCACCAGTTTGTTGTCATCTCTGGGGGTTTAGTACAGGTTGAACACTATTGTGTGCTGCAGTAATGATAATTATTGCTGTTATTAGATGATGCTAGACACTCACTGTGGATGAAACATATTTTTGTGCACGGGTTCCTTGTACTACCAGCCATGACAATAATACTGTCTTGGGGTTTGAGGGGGTGAGTAGACCCTGATAGGTGTCAATATCTCAGCATTCCCCAGAGCTTGCACATGTTTCTGCATCCTGCCTCGTGTTTTGGCTCTTACTGCCCGGCTGGTGAAGCCGTGGGGTACCTGCTGTTCAGGATGTGGGCAGCCCTGCTGATCCAGCCCGAGGATCTGCGGCTGGATGAGCGGGATTGTCAGACTGCAGCTTCCCTGCCTCGCCTTCCAGCCAGCACTGCAGATGGGCAAGGCTGGCTCCGGGTGGGGAGGGGGTTTCTCACCCGTTCAGTTACAGCCTGCTCGGCCTCATTAAAGTGTTTGTTTTCCGAGTCAAAATGAGCCTGCGAATGAGGTGTTGCTTTGCTGGAGATCTTATCGGCTGTAAACAGACTGGTAAAAATAGGGTCGTTTTACACAAAACTTGTTTGCGGAATGAAACAATTCAAAACACGATAACAACAAAACAAAATCTTAAAATAGCTCGGAGTTGAGACCACAGACACAGCTGCCAAGCACTTTCATCTTTATTACAGTTAGTCATATCTCTTCTCTTACTATTCCCATTGTAAACAGGCTGATGTTATCTCTGCTGGCCTCCCGCTCATCCCAGCCCCTGGAGCTGCACCCCGATCCAGCCTGGTGCCTGTTTCCAGGGCCCAGCTCATGCTTCTCCTTCCATGCCTAGCTCAGGCATGGACCAGGCAGCTGCTCCCAGAGTGTTCCCTGCTGCCAGGAGGCTCTGCCAGCAGCACCGTCACTCTGCTTCAGCTAGAGGATGTTAAATTGCTGTTCAAAACCAGCTTATGGGCCAGGCTGCCCAGAGCAATGTTCAAAACAACGTGCGGATGTGGCACCCCGGATATGGTTTGGCAGTGAATGCTGTGGTGGTGCTGGGTTGATGGTTGGATTTGGTGATCTTAGAGGTCTTCTTCAGCCGTGAGGACTCCATAAATCTCTGTGTGATTGGAGCTCCTCTGTCCTCCAGGCCTGCTGTGGGGGAGCTGTGTCTGCCAAGCCTGGGCAGGGAAGGGAGGGCTCCCTGCACTCTGGACAAATGAACATCTCTTGTTCTACACCCTTGGGGACAGGGTGGAATATCCAACCAGAGAAAGAGCAAAACCCAACCTGACACCACACATGTTCATCTGATTAAGTCACCTGTACAGTTAGTAGAGCTGGAGATAAACCTCTGCTATGTAGATAACAGTGCTGCAATTAGGTTAATCTGAACATTAAAAAGCCATTAGGGAGCTGTTGGATGTAGCAGTTAAAACTAAGTCTACAATAGGAGGTACTAATGAGGTCAAATGATGAAACAAGGCCTGGAGAGTTGCAAATTTTTATTTTTTTAAATTATTTCTTTTGATTCAGCAAGCTTGAGGATCTGGGAGGAAAGCAAAACCAGCTGCCAAAGCTTTGGAGACCCAAACCCCTTTTTCACGTCCACAAGAGAAATAGCAATCTTCAACCTAAGAATTATCACTCAGCTTGAACACTGTGTTGTTAAACGGATAATGTGAGAGGAAAGAAGCAGCTCTTTGCCTGTGACTTGTGGAATAGTTACCAAGTCTGGAGTTGGAGATGTTTGGTTGAGGTTTAGCTGGGCTAAGCAATGCTCCTGTGTATTTCTGCTCAGTCTCTGCATTAATGATGATTCCTCTTTTTGTCACTTAAAGTTCTTCTCTTGATTTCTCTTTTGAAGATAAAGCCTGGACTTCCAATGAAGCAGTGTTAAAGAAAAAAGAAACCACCCAAACCTCCCCAAAACCAAAACCAAATCCAAAACAAAACAAACAGAAAAAACTGTTTTCCCACTTCTAAGTGGGGCAGTAGGATAGAGCAGCTGAATCTCCATGGCATGCGTTGGTTCTCTGCTTTTGCACACTCAGTCTGTGATGCAGTGGATGAAATACAGGCACGAATTCCTCAGAAGGGAACGTAATCCACTGCTGCTGCTGTGAGCAGGGATGACATCTGAGGCTCCTTGTCCTGATTGCCCCAGTTACTGACACAAGGCACTATATTAAAGGCACCCATTATGTGCTTATTCTGTATTTGGGATCCAAGTGTTCTCACACATAGAAATGAGACACCATTCTCACCTCCTGTAAATCCTAATCCGTGCCTGTGCCTCCCAAGCAGTGCACAGTTAGAGCTTCTTCCATTCCTGTGGTCCCCAGCTGGGATGGGACAGGCAGTGGCTGAGCCACTTCTTCTGAGCTTGAGTTCCCGTTCACCCCAGCAGGTTCTAGAAGATCCTGGTTTGGAGGCACTTTGTGAACATGGCAGGTCTTGGCTTATCAAAGATTCGGCAATCCCATGAAAGGGAAAAATACAATTCTTCCCACCAATTCTGTGGTAACCCTGGCGCTTTCAGGGCTGTGGAGTGACTCAGGAATTGGAGAAACTGTAACCTTTTGATTTCAGGGTGTTTAAAATCTTGAGTTGCTTTCACAAAGTGCAGTTGTTTTACAAAACTTCAAAGGCAGAGCGAGACTGATAAGGGTCACTCAGAAGGGTTTGGTGGGCCAGGTGCTTTTACCATGACATTGATAGGAAATATCCATCCCAGCTGGTTTTGTCCAAGTGCTTCACTTGCTTTCTGCCCAACAACTTGATCTTTAATTTTTGCTCCAGAGGCTGTTGCTACTCAGGATATGCAGCTCTGCTAGGAGTGTTCTTGTACTTTTGTGGAATGAATATGGCCAAATACTTGTGGCCAAATATTTGCAGGATTTGTGCTTGACAACATAGCAGAAATAATACATTAAAAATTTGTATAACAGCATTTTTATTTCACTTTGGAATAATGCCCATTTATCCACTGTAGGGTTCTTCTAAATACACAACTTTTTCATGTTTTCTAGGCAGCCATACTGAGTATTAAGCTGAAATTACAGCCAGATCAAGATGTAGAGAAGGTGAGTCATTTCCTCTGCAGGCTCCTCTGTCATCAGATCCACCTTTTATTAGCAGGAGATCCATCAGGGGCCTCCAAGTCCTGCTGCCTTTCACCTGAGGCTTTACTCCATTCCCAAGAGGTCCTTGTTGTGTTGTTGATGTACTTTTACATCAAGGTTAGGCACAGAGTGTTTTATTAGCCCCCACTACACTTCCTACCTGGTTTTTCCAGCTGCAGCCACTGCTGTAACAAATCCTGGCTGTGCCCCTCACTGAGGCAGAGATCAGTACTCTGCTGCACTGAAGCTTTGCTCACACTTGTGTCACAAATGTCACAGCTCCTGGAGGCAGCACTGGTGGCTGGGGCAGGGCTGGCACTCGCTCTCATGCTCTGTGGGGATCAAAGGCAGGGCACGGTGCTTTAACAGGATTCCTTCTCCTAGATGTGTACCCCACTACTGCTCCAGGATAAAGCTAACTTGGTGGAAGAATATGTGGCAGAATATCCCGAGCTCCAAAGGAAGCTCTTGCAGACGCTGGACACGTGGTGTGAGCCCAGCTTCGATATCAGAGACATCACAAGGTAGAAACACTTGTCTTTCTGAACAGCTGGGGCCAAGGTGATGCCAGAGCAGAGTGTGTCTGTCCCCTGGCTGTCTGTGGTCAGAGCAGTGTGTCTGTGCAATATATTGATTTTTTGGCTGAAAAAGGGAAAATTCTGGTGGCTGTGTCAGAGCCTTCTCCAATGGCCCAGGCTGTAGGACAGAGGAATCCTTGCTAGTGACAGATGCTCCATTCCTGCCAAGATGAAACCAGTGCAGGACACCCCAGCAGCAGAGCAGTATCAAACTTTCCTGAGGAGGTTGGAGCAATCAGCCTCTTGTGCTTTGCTGCAGACAAGGGTGACTTTCAGTATCGGTCGTACAGGTTTGGCAGGAAGATAACACTGTGATGAAGTGGCAGAAAAACAAGAGATGCAAGTGGTTAACCTTCCTGTGCTCATCAACTCATGGTGCTTTTCACTTTTGAATTGCCTCTCACTCGAATAACTCCTGTCACTCAGAGCCAGCAGCACAGTCAGAGTACAGTGTAGCTGCAAGAGTTGCTGTCAGCTCTGAAAAGGAGATGAAAAGGAGTTGCTCACTTTCTCTTTCTTTAAAATGAGCCTCTGGACTTGCTTCAGGTGGTTGACTGAAATTTGTGTGGTTGTGCTGTTGGCTTTTCATTGTATCTTGGGAAAGGCAGGGGCCTGTCCTTCTCAACATCCTGCAAACCCCAATCCCTCTGCTGTTAAATGTCTGCTATTTGGGAAATGTCCTTTAGATGATGCCACAGATGTGTCTCTCTGGTGTTGTTACAGACCATACCAAGGCCTGTCCAAGTACAAACCTGAAAAATTTAACTGCAGAATGCTCAGTAAGCTGGTCTTCAGGCTCCTGGAGAGATTCAACGTTGACCCAGGTATGGGATATTACAACATATTGTGGAGTTAGCTCAGTAATAAAGAAAAAAGTCAATTTGTCTTCTTCCATGTTCATCAAGGAATATTTGCTGTCATTTATCCTGGGGAATTTCAGGGTTTAATTAATGACATTGAAAAAACAAAGCTGGTGAGTTATGGGAATTATCACTTTGTGCTGTCAAAGAATGAAGTGCTGGTGACTAATAGACTGCTTCTGCCATGATCTGAAATAAATCCTGACCTCAGCATGGCTCTGCATAAACACACCATGGTCAGCTCTGAGTTATGACTCCATTCCTCTCACATAAGAGGCAAGTCATTATTCACTGGGGATCTGTTTTCTTCAGCTGTGGGTGCGTCAGCTGGGAGGAGATAACCCTTGGGAAGCAGGAGCCTCACAACCCTTTGTATTCTTTACATAAACTAGGGTTGGTGGGGGAAATTTTAAGGCTCTTGCAACCTTGCAAGAGAAGTGGCACATTTTCCATCACTTCACCAGCAGGTCTCTAACAAAATCTGCTTTGCTTTGGTTCTTAGTGGGGACTGGTGATTTTTCCTTCTCTTTGGGGCCTTGCACCAGACCCTTTTAGGTGCACCATTAGCTTTTACCCTGCAGAGGTTCCCATCATCAACCCAAGGTATGCAATTCTCTTTTCTTGGACTGAAAAGGGTTTTCTAACCACAAATTGTGGGCTTGTTACACCTGTCAGCAACACTATTGCATATTAATCTTCCTATCTTCAGACTGGTGTTCAAAAGTTAACAAGATAAATCTTTCAAATCCTCACTGGAAGAGAAGTGGATGTAATTAAACCCAGCACGTTCTCGTGAAAGCTGAGACATATGGGAATGATTTATTTAGAAATTAAAAGCTTCCCAGGAATTCATTAGTTTTCAGTAGTTTTCCCTCCTTGACAGTGTTGGGCATTCAGTTGGCTGTGTTGTCTTTGATGATCTATAAAGAAAAAAGAGTTGTTCCTCTTTCCTTATGAAAGCTCCACCAAGGGCATGATATAATGGTAGAAGTGAAATGATGTAACTATTCACTTGCAAAATCCTGATAAATAATAATTAAAGAAAAGAAAAATCTAAAAAAGGAGCTTGTTTTGGGCTCAGGTGCACTCCATGGGATGCAGCGTGCTTCAACCTGATGATGCTTTCCAGATGTTGTAGCTGCTGATAATGGCCAGATCTTTCTGGTCCTCTGTTCACTGGTGAGGAGATTCCTCAGGATAAATACAGACCCTATTCGTTCCAGACAAATGTCCTTCCAGACAAATGTCCTTCCAGACAAATGTCCTTCCAGCCCTTTCTCCCGTGCAGACTGCAGTGTCTGCAGTGCAAGGCAGTCCTTGCTCAAGAGGGCTGCCCACCTCTGCTGGTGTGAGAGGGGATGTGGCCACCTAGTTTGAACATCAGCTAAAGCCAGTGCTGGGTGACTCCCACAGTCCCATACAGGACAGTAGGTGTTTATTTTTTACATCATACCGTGAGCAGGAATTCACACATTGCTAAACCGTGGCTGTCAGTCTCCTTTGAAGTGCTTTGGAAGGGGATGAATACCTGCAGAGGAATTGCTGCCTTAGTGCTGGGTGTGCTGGAACTGAATTGGGAAATGCTAGCAGCTGGAATAATGTGGCTTTCTTTGTCTTCCCATCTCTCCCCTCCCTTTTGCTGAATTTCTGGGTGTTCTTTCTCCATTCTTTAGTAAAAGCAAGTCTGACTGGGAGGGAAAAGTACACAAAAAGTAAGCAGGCTGGACAAAGTGTACAGATAAAAGAAGCCCTCATTTCTCTTGTTCTGAGCAGTTCCCCCAAACGCTGGTGGTGAGGCAGAGCTCACACTTGTCACCTCACCTGGGCTTGTCTGATGCTGTGGCTGCTTTTGGTCTCCTCCTCCCTGTGACTCCCACTCACTGTGAGAGCCTGAGAGCAGCAGCAGGGAGGGAAGTGGCTTTGAAGGGCTGGAGGAGGATGGGGTTTCTGGGTATGAGAAGGCAAACTTGTGTGTGACTCGGTTCTTGCAGTTCCAAATCGACTTGGAGATTTCACTGCTTGAGCTCACTCTTGCCCACTCACAGTAAATCACACCGACTGCCAGACCCAGCTGAGGTGTCTGTCAGCAACTGAGAACACTCCTGGGAACTGCCACCCTAAATATCAGAGCCAGATAGGAGGTGGCCCAATTAAAAAAAGATCTCACACCTCAGGGAAAGAAAACAAAACCATAAAGCAATCCCCTCAGATTAGTCCTCCTGTTCTCTTCCAGAGCTGTATTTCAGTATTCCTGTTAACTCCCAAACAGGGCATGGGAAGTGGGATATTTTCCGCCAAGTCCCAAAGGTGTCCCAATAAACTGTGTGTGGATTTCATTTAATTACCCTTATTGGGGGAGGAAGAAGCTGGGCAGAAGTGGTGTGTGATTGAGGAAATTGAGGTTTATAGAGTCTTTCCTCACACCTGGGTCAGTGTGCTCTAGCTTAACAAGCCTGTAGTTTTTCTAAGCTAATTACTTAATAGTCTTTGGAGACCCTGTGAGATCGACTATACAAATGCAAGTTTCAGTCAAAACAGACCTCAGAGGTGAGGGAACAGCCCTGTCCCAGAGATGGCATGGTTGAGTCTGTTCTCTGCTGTGGCTTGGCACAGCCAGGAGGACACCGAGAGAGCTCAGTGATGTTTTCCGTTGACAATTCCCAAGTCTGAGGTAGACAGGATCCTGCTCGAAGAAGTGCAACAGCCTCATCTGTTGTGTTTAGTGCCTCCGTGCCAATGAGGGAGATCCAAGTGGAGGGACAGAGGGGAGAGAGGGGTACCCGAGAGCCCCGGTACCGGGGGGCTGTGCTGGGACAGTGACAGACCAGCACCTCCGGTTCTGAGCGCTGTGAGCGAGTGTTTGCCGCGGGCTGCCAGAGGTTTTTTAACATGATCCAGGAGCAATGTTTCCCTCGCTTGAGCACCCACTTGTCCGTTTGGTTTAACGTGGGATTTCCGTCCGTGTGACCGCCCCCGGCCGGCCCCGCGCTGCCGGGAGCGCCGCGCTGCGGGGCAGCAGAGGGCAGGAGAGGGCTGTGCACGGCCACATCTGCACAGGTGAGCCACAGCTGGTTCTGTACAGCCACATCTGCACAGGTGAGCCACAGCTGGCTGTGCACGGCCACATCTGCACAGGTGAGCCACAGCTGGCTACACATCTGCACAGGTGAGCCGGTGAGCCACAGCTGGCTCTGCACGGCCACATCTGCACAGGTGAGCCACAGCTGGCTGTGCACGGCCACATCTGCACAGGTGAGCCACAGCTGGCCACACATCCTCAGGGCTTGAAGAGCTGCCAGCCCATGTCCAGGCAGTCACCAGTGAGAGCCCCAGCTGAGGCCTGGGAGTCCTCACCAGGCAGAAGATGCTCTGGTAGAAACAAGGGAATGACTTGGACAACTTGGCATGAATGCCTTTGGAGGAGGTTATTCCCTTTTTTTGCTCCTGACTTCCATGGTGATTTTCCTCCAGAGTGTTTTAACTCAGGTGTTAAATACCACCACAGCTTTCCACTCTGCTGTCTCTCTTAACAAGTTACCCTTCGTCCTCATGTTTTTCATAGAATCCCCAACTGGTTTGGTTGGAAGGAACCTCAAAGCCTATCCCATTCCACCCCTGCCATGGCAGGGACACCTCCCACTGTCCCAGGCTGCTCCAAGCCCCGTCCAACCTGGCCTTGGGCACTGCCAGGGATCCAGGGGCAGCCACAGCTGCTCTGGGCACCCTGTGCCAGGGCCTGCCCACCCTGCCAGGGAACAATTCCTAATTCCCAATATCCCATCCTCCCTGCCCTCTGGCAGTGGGAGCCATTCCCTGTGTCCTGTCCCTCCATGCCTTGTCCCCAGTCCCTCTCCAGCTCTCCTGGAGCCCCTTCAGGCCCTGGCAGGGGCTCTGAGCTCTCCCTGGAGCCTTCTCCTCTCCAGGTGAGCACCCCCAGCTCTGCCAGCCTGGCTCTAGAGCAGAGGGCTCCAGCCCCTGGAGCAGCTCTGTGGCCTCCTCTGGACTTGTTCCAACAGGAGCTGGGCCCAGGGCTGGGGCAGCTCTGCAGGTGGGGTCTCCCCTGAGCAGAATCCCCCCTGCCCTGCTGCCCACGCTGGGGATCAGCCCAGGGCAGGAGGTTCAGGGCTGGGGAAGGTCCAGCTCTCAACCACAGCACCCCCAGGTCCTTCTCCTGTTCTCAGTCTGTTCTCTGTCCAACCTCTCTGTGTGTTTTTGATTCATCCTTCTCTGTTTTTTTGTAATAAAATACAGAAACCCAGATTCAAACTCAGTTCCTCTGCTCCATCAGAATAAAATATATCACCAGTGCCTTTAAACATGTTTCCAGTCCATCCATGTTCCTCTGTCTTTTCCACAAGCATTCAACTCCCCCAGTTCTGTCAGAGCCTGTGCTTTGGATGTTTTCTTTAGAAGCTCAAAGAAAAAGCTGTTCAGTGGATCTTTTGGGTGGCCTGGAGGGGTCATGCCATGGTTCTTTCTGAAGAACTTTGAAAACTTTAAGTTAGGAGGTGGTGTTACTAATTTTTACATTGATCTTATATCTTTAGAGAGTGTTCCTTTCTGTGAGCTGATGAGTTTTCCTCCAGATATTGGGACAATATCCAGAAAGATCACCATATTTACTGGTGCAATATCCTGCGTGATAATTGCAGGGATTTCCTCAGATGCTTTGAGGGGAAGGATTTGTTGCCACACTGTGGAAGATTAACTTAAAAATCACAGCATTAAGCATTTCTGTTTGAGATGGAAATGCTCACATTCTGAGGTGATGTTTCAGGGCACTCTGAGGAGCTGCTGTAACCAGTGGCACATCAATGCACACCCCTCTGATCCCAGGCTCTGGTATCCAGACATCACTCTTTGTTCTCCTGGGGTTTAGTCCTTGGGCATGCCCTGTGTGGGACACACAAAGGGATTAGGAATCACTTTCTCCCTGTGGGTGCTAATTCAAGGGAGGCTACAGAGAATTTAATGTTCCTGATGTTCCTGTTCTCTGTGGCTGCTTGTGACTGCTGGCCCTGCTCTCTCTGGCTCCCAGTGGGATGGTTTTGGCCCCATCTGAAAGCCCAAGGAAGGCTTTGGTGAAGCCTTTCCCTGTACAGGCAGCCCAGCATCCAGCAGGAACTGACAGATACCTGTGCTAATGCCACTTTGTCTTTAATCTCCAGCCTTTATCTCTCCTCGCTCTGGATTTCAAAACAAGGTGCTATGTGAAGATCTTGAGTTATGCAGTTGGAATGAGCCATATCTAATGAAGGTCACAGCAATAAAAATCATAACAACAACTGTGGCTTGCTAGCTCAGCAAAGCAGTATTCCCCACCCTCTTTGTGTGGATGTGGAGCCTCTTTCATGGATCTGCGTTTTATCGGATAAACTTCAGCCACACGTTTACATCCTGAGTGAGCTGTTCACAACTGCTTGAATGAATTGACAACACAGGTCCAATTAAACCCGAAAGAATGCAGCCTCTAGAGACTGAGGCGGTGCCCATGTGAGGATGCTGCCTAATTAAAGGTGTGAAGTCATTGACTGTGGAGCATATTGAACCAGAGAGTGGATCTTATCGCTCAGGGGTGGTGGAAGCAGAGATATCAGACCCAAGAATTAGCATTGCTAATCACGGATGAAAGTGTAAATAACAGTTTATACTTGAGATAAGCTGACAGTGTGTGAGTCTGTCCCTCATTGTTCCAAGGGTGAGGGCATCCTGCCTTCCACAAACCCAGTCTGACACTGGGGAAGGAAAAGTGTAATGTCTAGACAGTAAAATTTCCAGGAAATGCTCTGTACTTAAATGTCTTTTTCCTTCTTTCAGCTCTCTGCCCTAATGTCATAAATCAGCGGCATTTGAGAACCCTGAATTACCTCTTTTACAAGAGATTTGTTGAGGTACGTGCTGTGTTGTGTGTGGGGAATTTGGTTACATTTAATTTTTTAATAACTTAATTGAGATAATCAAAGTGTATTAATAGTTTATGATCAAGGTTTTTTTCCCCCAAATTTTGCTCCCAAGCCCTCCCAGTACATCAGGGAAGCTTCTGATTGTGTTTGCTGCCAGCCAAGCCCACTGCCAGAGGAGCTGGGGAGGATGGAGCACTTCAGCCTCCTGCATCTCAGCGCTTTCATGTTGGATGACATCAGTGTAGGGAGCCTGGTCATCCACAGAGGGAGCAGAGAGCATTTCTCCAGGTGTATTTGTTTAGCAGAGGGAATGGATTCGTGATCTGGTGTTCTGCTCTCTCTGGCCTTCCACTTCCTTTGTTTTGGAGAATTTGCTTGCTTTAAAGTATCCAAGCTGGCCAGTTATTTCCATTAAGGTACATTTGGCAGCTGTTTCTGGACACAGTCCCTTCTTCTGAGAGTTCTTTGGTGCTCTTTGTTTACCATTCTCAGCTGTGTCTGAGCTCTGGTTAAATGTCTCCTTTATCTCACTAATATTTAAATGATATACTTGAATATCTCAAAGCTGTTTTCTTTGAGGCTCTTGCTTGCTGTTTGCTCTTGCATCTTTCCATAAAGGTGACACTGACACTCCCTGTTTCCTCTGCCAGCTCGGGGGTGAGACTCATGGTGGGTCTCATGCAGTTCTTGGCAGAGTGGAGAGCAGGTCCCTTTCTGAGTTTCTCCCCAAGTTTGGTTCTGAACTGCATTAGAATGGGAATATTAACTTATCAGTTTCCTTTCCCAGACCCCATGATTCCAGAGGATTTTTCATTACTTGACTGTTGAGAAAATTGTATTTTTATATTCTGAAGGCTCAGCCTTGCAGATGACCCCTGAGATCCCTCCCTTGGCTGGAGCCCTCAGGATGGCTCCCCATGGCTGGCTGGAGAGATGAGTTTGGGCACAACCTGCACAGGAATTTTTATGCTTCATGTGCTGTGGTGTGAGAGTTCCCTCATCCAAGCTGTGTTCTGCCATGCACCAGCTGGAGGCACTGAGGATCTGAGGTGTCCTGTGTGTCCAGGTTGCATTCCTTGGTCACAGGTGATGCCAGTGGGGACAATGAGGTGTTCATTTCTAGTTTGCTGTGTGGAACATCCTCCCTTTCCTAAGATGGCTCAGCAGTGATTTTGTCTTTTCAGAAAACCATGACTGAGGAGAATTGGGCAGACCACATTCAGGTGAGTGTGGATTTCACAGGTTGTTTGCTTGGAGGTTATTTGAAGATGTTTTAGCATAGCCAGCTCTGGATGTTGTAGTCCTGCTATCACAGTTCTGCACTTTCTCAACACTTTGAAAGCAAATTGTGAATGCAGGGAAGGCCAATGGAGAACAATTGTATTTTAACTCATTTTACATCTTTGAAAATGTTTTCTTTTGGCTGGAGCCAAATAGAACGTTTGGACAAAGCTCTCATGGATGCCCAGGGTGGGATTGTTGGGGTGCCTGTGCAGGGCCAGGAGCTGCACTGGATGATCCTTGTGGGTCCCTTCCAGCTCAGGATATTCCATGGCTCTGTGATTCTATGACTTAGATAAGATTATCAAATACATTATTTTACTTTCCTGCACTCACTTGTAAGTGCACACTACAAGTATTTACATTAATTAACGACAAGGAAGGGGGAAAGGAGGCTGTAATCAGCAGCTAGCAAGGTGTGTGAGGAAACTGGGATAAATGTTAGATTTCCTGTCCATGTTCTGACCATTTTCAACAGGTGACGATGTTGTGACCTCTCTGTCTTGTGCTACAGGACACAAGTAATTTTAACAGCACAAGGAGAAGGGAGCTGGGTGGGTTTTTCTTGGTGTATAAACAAGAGAGTTCAGGCAATCATGGTATGACTTGTTTTGTTTCTTTTTTTTTAATAGAAATTTATTATATATGTATTAAAATTGTTGCTTTTGCTGCGCCTTCTATACTACCTATTCTTGTTTAATGCAAGAAAGAGCTTATACTTAGGTGAAAATAAATACTTGTACACACACACACACTCATGCATATTCAGTATTAACAATCTAATGAAATAGTTATCCCATAATAGACTTAGTTTTGTTTTTAAGAGTAAGTATAAAGCTCACTAGTCCTGGTGAAATCAGACTTCCATCATTTCTTGTTGCTGGTATTTCTACCTATATGAGTGAGACATTAATTTAAAATTCAGTGCCCTGATCCTACAATAAATACAAATGTGACAATGAAACAACATGAAATTCCATGGTGATAAGCCAGTATTGGAATTGCAGCCCCATGGTGAGTGTTTGCTCCTGTTCTGTAACTCCTCTCAGGCTGAATTCTGCAGCCTTTAGGGATTTCTGAAAATCCCCTGAAGGGTCAGCGTGGGCTCTGGGTAACAGGCCGGGCTGATGATCTGAGGGCTCAGGCACACACCACAGGACACACCAGCAAAGCAAGACAACTGTTGGGCTTTTCCATGCAGCTCCAGGGGCTGGACACTCGGATCCTTGTGATCTCTTCCTCAGAGATCACTCAGCAGATTCCATGATTCTCTCATGGGGATGTGCTTTGGTGTGTGTGGGGAAGGGGTCTCTGTTGATGGTGGAGAGTGGGATGAAGCTCCCAAAACAGGAGGCTCAGGATATCTCTGGGAAGTGCATGTGTGGTACCTGGTAAGCCCTGAGAGCACAGAGCTGCATTCTGCTCTGGGGCAGAGGGTTGTCTTGCACTCCAAAGGATTGTAAACTCTGTATTTCTTGCTTGTTGCCAACTGGTGTATTTTTCACAACTGTGTAATTATCAGCCGAGTGGTGCTGAAACTTGCCTGTTATCAGCCTGACTTGGTGCTATCAGAGATCCCTGTCTCTGGCATCAGTTGAAAGTGATGGGAATCTGTACCTGTGCATCTGCAGGAAGCTGAAATAACAACCTGTGCAGGCTGGTGGCTGCTGCTGGCAGGAAAAGGAAGGAATAAAGGAAGGATCTTTGAGCAAGCTTTGGTTTTCAGCGCAAAAACTAACACTGTCCAGGACTTTATTTGTTTTGAAAGGTTGGGCTTTGCAGGAGGGAATGGCTCAAAGTTCACTCAGAGCTTCATAGAATCACAGGATCCCAGACTGGTTTGGGTTGGGAGGGACCTAAAAGCCCATCCAGTTCCCCCCCCTGCCATGGCAGGGACACCTCCCACTGTCCCAGGCTGCTCCAAGCCCTGTCCAGCCTGGCCTTGGACTCTTCCAGGGATCCAGGGGCAGCCACAGCTGCTCTGGGCAACAGTTTCACCAAAGGTTAGAGCCTCACCTGTGACTTGACATCTTCTACCAAAAAAATTCCTTAGGCTCCTTATGGAGCTGAGGAGCCCTCACATTTGTGTTGTGTGTCCCATCCCTGTGTTCACCTGAGGCTCACATAATGTTTGGATCTCCCAAGCTTTGCCTGGTCAGGCACTATTAAGGACTGGAGGCAGAGGATGAGACACAATGTGACCTCTGGTCACCTGGAGGAATAGAAAAAGCTCCCAAAAGACTCCACAATGACAGACTCTCAGTCAGAATTATTGGATCATTTTTGGATGCTTTTTTCAATTTGAAGTTCAAAGAGGTTGGAAGTCTTCTTGGAATTCTTTTCAATTTCAGGGTTTTTTTCAAATTCTTTGCTGCAACAATAAAAAAAAGACATAAATTATATTGATATGACTAGCTCTAGTGATTATATAGGTAAAGATATCAGGATTTATAGAGGTACCAGGAAATGTCCTTGCTTGGAGCTTGTCATTGCAGGCCAGTGACATTTTGGGACTGGGATTTTCTTTCGTTCACCCTGGGCAGTACAAGTACAGATTTTTCCTGTTCCTGCTCTGTGGAATGAATCCCAGGTGTGATCCTGACTGCTTCTTTAAACAGCAGAAACTCTGGAGTTAATTGTGGGGCGAATAAAACCTGTTTCCATCCCTGTGGCAAACTGGTTTTGCCCCCTCTGCCTGCCAGCACTCAGTGGCTGAGCCAGTGTCCAGGCAGGGATGGCAGAGGATGCAGGAGAGGAAGGAGAAGGATCCAAACCTCTTCATAGCCTAAGAAGGCTGCCCTCATCCCCACTGGCTGCTGCAGGCCTGGTCAGCCAGGAGAGCTGCCCCTTGCAGCACCTTCTCCAAGAGGAGATGCCTGGAGGGCAGAGGGAGGGGAGAGACTCTCAGTGCCCAGTGCCAGCTGCTTGCTCTTCATTCCCTTCCTAAGGGATCCTGGGCTGCTGGAGCACAGGGAGTGTCTGTCCTCACAAGAAGGGGAACGTGGGGAGGATACTGATGGGAGACAGGCAAGGAAAAAGAGGCAGGGCATGAAGCTCCTGTCTGCTTTCTGTGTGCCCTTGTGGTGCTGTTTTGGCATGCTTTGTGTTTGTCCTGGCCTCAGCAGCTGCACAAAGAAGGTCGAGCTGGGCAGAGCAAGCCCAGCACAGCTGGTCTGTAGCTCTGCTCAGATGTGTTCAGGGAGGCCCTGCCAGAGACTGCAGGCCAGCAGCAAGAGGGCTTGTGGAGGGCAGGTGTTCCCCCGGACATTCTGTAGGACAAACATCACTAAAAAACATGGAAGGAGTTTCTCCATGGAAGGAGTTTTTCCATGCCATGCTTTCTAAAAGTAAACACACATGGAACTGTGATATCAATGAGAAGCACGATAGGAGAGTGACTCTGGTGGCAAGTGTCACCTCCGGCAGGGTTTAGGTGTCAGACTGTGTCTGAGACACTTGCAGAAGGTTGGCAGCATGACAAGGGCCCTGCCCAAGACATTTCTGTCTCAGAGGGCAGCTGGAGCACCAAGACATCTCAAATAACACCAGACGCCTGTGTTTTGGTGATCTGAAATGTCTCAGTTTGACAGAGAACTTGGGGGGTAGGATGGTTCTGCTGCCCTGCTCTCAGTGCTGTTTTCTCACCAGTGTTTTGGGGGTCTTGTAGTTAGATCAGTTTAAAATGTTATCTCAAACATACCAAGAAGTTATACCAAGAAATCTCCGTGTGTGTGTTTGGACTTTCCTGCAATGAAACTCCTTCTCCTGTGGAGCAGAACTGGGTGACACTGCCAGCACTGCAGCTCTTGCTGGGGACAGTGACTGGAAGCAGCACAGGGCAGGGTTCAAACCCACTGGTTTATTTGGGACTCTCAGTGTTATAACCACTGTGAGGTGTCCAGGAAAGGGAATGGGTAGAAGTGGGATTTTCACTTTTATTGACCTTAAGCCAAGGGGCTCTTTGCTGTTACATCCCAAACTGTTCTGTGCTAGTGTTTGCACAGGGAAACTATCCCTTAACTTCTCAAAATTAAACATCTGAAACTCTTCCAAATCTGGTGCTCAGAAAAGCACTGCTGTTTGGAAAGATGTCACTTGTTCTGTGAGTGCTCCTGGGGAGCAGGGGCCTCTTGTTCAGGGTGAGAGGAAACAGCCTCAAAACACACCAGAGAATGGCCAGATTAGATGTTAGGAAAAAAAAAATCATGGAAAGGGCTGTAAGAAAGCACTGAAATGGGCTGCCCAGGGCAGTGATGGGGTCACCATCCCTGGAACTGTTCAAAAAATACATGAATGTGGCACTTGGGGACGTGGCTTGGTGGTGAATGTGGCTGGTACTGGGTTGATGGTTGGACTTGATGATCTTAGAGGGCTTTTTCTACCTTAATCATTCCACAATTCTCTGATTCTGCACTGACTGAGACCACTCTGACCTTCCAGTGTGGTTTGAGAGGAGGGTGCAGGGATGCACGTCCCAGAAAAGTGCCCTCATTTTCCTCAGGCCCCTGTCCTGCAGTTCCTCAGTCTCTTGTGGTCCTGTGAGGATGCAGAGATGGGCTCTGGGGGCAGCTGTTTCCCGTGTTCTGCACAGGGAGAGCCTGCAGCTGATTTCTGTGCTCCTCCAGCTGGGACAGTGAGATAACTTATTTATTTTAAAATTTCTGACCATGAAAATCAAGCACTGTGCCAGCTCCTTTTCTGGGTGAGTAGGGGTCAGATGCTGGTAATTCCTAGGAAATGCAGAACTCCAGTTGCACTACAGTTCAAGGGTTATTATGCTGTTTACAGAAAATACTCAGAAATCTGCCCTTCTTTTTGTGTAATACATTGCAAAAACATTGACAATTCCTGGTACTTAACAGGTGTAAATTACCTTACACTGCAGCAAGAAGTTGATGTAATCTTATTTATTTGACAAATTAATTTTTAAATGGCAGTGGCT